TACAACGAAAGATGACCTTTAAAGGATGAATATTTAGGGTCCTCTATCTTTGTCATTGGCCTCAAAAAGTTGAAAATTCCGCAAGAAAAAGAGTAGCTAAAGAGCAAGATTCTGCTCCCTACACCTCCAAACCTCTTACTTTTGAGCACTAAGAGAGAAAAAGAAATTTTGGCTTTAGGGTTCATACTTAGGATTCCTCACTTTAAAATCCCATTTTGTTTAGAGAAAAAGAAGCATGCGGACAAGTTTTCACCACTGAAAAATAAGAGGGTTGGGCCCTTGCAATTCCATTCCCTCATATACAATTCAAGATAAACAAATTACATGGCTATATATTGATATAATCGCTTACAGTTTAAGTGATAGGTCAAATATTTTCATTCTCAAAATGAGTGATCGATCGAATTTAATAGCATGAATCTTAAAACTTGATTTGTACTTGGGAAAAAGTAATAATCATTTGCCACTAGTTACTCTAATTATTTGAGTTGTACCCATGTGATCTCTAGCTCATTGATCTATGGTCTACAGTAATCTCAAGTTTCTCAAAAATTCAACAGTTGATGCATGATTGTCAATTACCACATCTAAATTTCAACATATGCGTGGTATATAATAGGTGAATGATAGCAACATGTTAATCATCCCCACACTTTACTGCTTGGCCTTGATCATGATGGGAGGGATAAATAATGTTGGAAAGAAATTGCCTACAAAATCCAAATTCACAGAGGCACCACACCACCACCTTCCTATTTCTATTAAAAAAACCAAAGTGTATAAAGAAAACAAAACAAAACAAAACGTTTTCACCTTTTTATCTCCAATGAGAAGGCGTCACGTCACCATCGTGGGTTCGATATACTGCCATCGAATTATACTCAAGGGACCCTGAAAAACCCTATTGCTCAAAGCTCATATGAGTTAGGGCACTATAAAAAGCATATGATATATTTGTATCTACTGGTGTAAACAGCACCATCTATGGCTGCTGTTGTGGAAAAATAAAAGTATATGATCTTGGATAAAGATAAACCATCTGTATTTATTTTGTGTGGTTAAAATTGTTTGATAGCATTGTCATTGCGCTCCACGATTTGTCCTATTTCCCGTCAGATTTATGTTTTAATTAAAGTTAAGTTTTTTTTGTCACTTTTCATGCATAGGTCTAGGAGGTGGGCTAATTGTGAATAAATTAGGTTTATCAATTGTTGATCACCAAACCCGCGGACCTGCATTTTGTCTAATGGGTGACCTTTTTGGTGGGGGAAGAAGAAGAATATGGATCCGAATTGGCATTTGGTGACGGATCCGTGTGGTCCAAAATTAATCTTCATGGCTCCCACCAAAAAAAAAAACCCTAGCTAGCTGGCCCTAATGAGGCAATTCCATGTTGCATGAATTGATTAATTAGCAAGTTCCATTCATAATTAATTATGAATTGATTAATTAGATTCATTTAATTAAATTAGAAAGTGGATTCCGACAGCATGGATCGATCAAGGGATCCACATTGTCGAAACAAACTTAATTAAATCCTTTTGTAAAGCAGCAAGTAATTAACTAGCTAAGCTTCATCAATGTGAATAAATTATCTAAACCTATGTTTTTCTTAACTCAGAATTTAATTTAGGGTTCTTTAGAAAATGGCCCTTGAAACTCTTATTTTCCAAACAAAAACCCACCTAATATTAAATATCCAAATAAAACCCAAATTTCAAATAGAGTACCATGTAGACAAATATGTAACCAATTATTATCACATATTTACAACTTATGCCACAAAACCCTAATTATGTCAATAAATATTATTACTTACCCTAATTATGATTAGTAATTAACCCCATATGGAAAATTTCACCTTTCTTGTATGGAAAATATTAGGAATATATATATATATATATATATATTAATTTAACCATGTTCATAAACAATTATGGGCACATTTTTCATATGAAAAAAAAAATCCTTGTACAATCAGTTATTTTGCATCAAATAATATTGTTGGATAAAAAACAATAAAGAACCAATTAATATTCTTTTATGTTGTAGGTAAATTATTTTACCTAGATTATTACATACGTTAGGCATTTTTTGTTTGTTATCATATATGCTTGTTAAAAATAATTTATCTATATTTGTATGTAAAATATAAGTAAATTAATTTTGAATCAAATAACATTTATTTTGTAGGTAAATTAAAATAGTAGTTCCATTATTTTGGTAAAGTTAAACAGTGCCTAAATTATTTCGTAAGAATTAAACCAAGACAAATTATCTCTACTAAAATAAAACAGTAGATATTCGACAAAAAATAAATAAAAAATAAAACTGTAGATACATTATTTTCTTATAAGATTAAACAATAGGTAAATTATATTGTAGGTACATTATGTTTGTAATATAAAAAAAAGAAATTGAAATTTATAAACAAAAAGTAGTAGATATATTATTTTTTAATCAAATTTCCTTTATTTGTAGGTGAATTATATTGTAGGTACATTATGTTTGTAATATAAAAAAAAAGAAATTGAAATTTATAAACAAAAAGTAGTAGATATATTATTTTTTAATCAAATTTCATGTATTTGTAGGTGAATTATTTTCATGCATTATTATATATATTGGCCACATTTTACTACTAATATATATGTGTGCAATAATTTACCTATATTATTATATAAAATATAGATAAATTTATTTTGAAATCAAATAACATTTTTTATTTTATAAGTAAATTATTTTACATGTATCATTACATATACAGGGCAAATTTATTACTAATACACATGTCCAAATAATTTACCTATATTTTTTAAATATAGCTAAATTATTTTATAGTGCTCTTTCATATTTTCATTTGGTAAGAAAATGACAAGATTAAATTAAAATTGTCTAATTTTATGCAAATTTGAAAAACAATTACGAAATCTTAAGGAAAGTATAACATTATTAGTTCTTTTTTTCCTTAACATACAATTTGTTATGACATATTATTATTTTAAACATTAATGCATTTTTTTCCATTAATCTCTCCTTTCAAATTTGCATAGAATTAAATGTTTACATTAAAACGGTAATTAGGGGTATTTTAGGCATCTGCAAAATGTAAAATGTGTAAAGGCAAACAAAATTAATGAATTTGCTTATGTGGAGCCTAGTCATTGGGTTTTATTCAGATAAAAAGACTATGTCGGGTTTTATGTAAAGAAACTTGAGTTTCAGGGGCTAAAGTCATATTTTCAGTTTAATTTATTTGTTCAACACTTGTTCATCAAATTTAAACTTTCAACTTTCTCAAACAAAGTAAAACCTGAATACACTGTAGAAACCCTAAATTTAATAATACGGTAGCATGGATGCTTTTTCTCAATGTCCTCGATGGATGATGGCATTATTATACCCTAAAAGGCAACCATCCAAGAGGAATTGGAGAAAATGTACTTTCTTTCCAACAATTATCACTACGTTGGTTGTTTTATTTCATGGTGGTCCATTTAAACAGCCATATTGACATAATTTAGATGTGTATGTGCAAGGGCGAAGCTTTAAATAATGTTTATGCGAGCACAACTAAGCAATGACAGATGCAAGTCTTCGTGAAATTTTAAAAAGAGTGTAGTGTCAATTTTTTAAAATTTTAAGTGAGGCATTTTGTCGAGCACTTGACCAATTCATACCCATTGTGTGCTTAGCCATTTTAAGTATATTTTAGGGTCAATATTGTACGTGAACAAATAAATAAGTTATATACGTATAGGGCTAGGAGGTCAAATTTATTAGACATACGAGAGATAATTCTTTTTCTTTAGCTACCAGAATAAACTATACAACTAAACAATATATATATTAAACCCGCCTTTTGGTAGTTCTAAATGAGGAACGAGAAATAGAGTTGATGATGATAGTGAGTTGATTATTATTCGTCTTGACGAAAAATAATTGCGATTTACTTGCTCATACCATTTTTTCACTGGCCAAAAACTGGGGCGCACGTGCCTTTCTGGCCTTAGTAAGTTTCGGCCCTTGTGTGTGTGAGTAAAACTAAGAAAAATAAAAGTGATGTAGGAAGATTTGAGAGATGATGGATACTCGATCGGTTTGCATATTGCCACCTGGAAAATTAATCGAGAAGTTGATGATAAGATTGCATGACTATGCATGCAGTTGCTTTAAATGCATATGGTTACCTTTTACAAGCCATATGATATGTACATAAGGGGCCATAATATATGATGCTACTACATGCAAAAATAATATACCCCATGTCGGGGATCTGTGACTAAATGACATGCTCTTAGTTGGCCTTTTTCTATTTGTAGTGAGAAGCTGTAAGTACTTAATTAAAAGCACCTTTTCAAGGCCTTGGCTTTTTCCCACCATATCATCTTATCTCAGCCTAGCGCCCACCACAGTATACACCCCACCTTGTTAATTTTCATATTAACGAACTGAAACCCTACTTGTTTAGCTGATCATCAATAAAATACAATTGTGAAGGTGAAATATCACTGCATATCAGGCAGAGTTGTCTGATATCTGGTAGAGATATTAGAACAGCCATGGGCCGGTCATGAGATAACTTGCTCTAATATCAAAGATATACATATGTATGTGTACAATTATATATATGTTTGTGCATACAACTAGAGATATCTCCACTAAACATCTATCATGTGACTTACTCAAAGTGACACAACAGATTTTTTCATTTGAGTGAACAACATCCATCACGTGACTTGCTCACAATGATTCATCAGATTTTCTAATCGTTGGTCACGAGAGGGGTTCATATATGTGAGGACGTGAAATCAAATTCTCTTAATATGAACAGTCACGCTCGATGAATGAACGGTCTTTATTGATCGCGGGACCAAATGTGGTCTCACTTTGCAGAGGAGCTAAAATCACTCACAAACTTCCACACAGAAAATAAACATAAAGCACCAAGCTGCAAATTGTGTATTGTCAATGATGTGCCAGAGAGATAGCTAGAGAGATACGAAAGAAGTATTGATGATATTTTATTGATGATGAATCAAATACAGCACACATGAAAAGGCCCCAAAGACCTTTGTATTTTTTTAGGACAATACTAAGGAGGTTTCTCCCCCTCGTGATTTTTTTTTCTTTAAATAAAAAAATCAAATAAATGAAGAGAAATAAAAAAGGCGTAGACACGAGTGACCATGCACCACCCGTGTGAACACCAGAGTTCATCAGTATGGTTATAGGCCCACTCAAGGCCAATAAAACAGGCAATTTCCCGCCAAAAATGCACACATAGACAGGTGTGCGCCACGCACTCTGCCACCAAAGCAGTGTGGGAGAGCACACACACCACTCAAAAGTCCAAAATGGGTGAAGCCACCGATCGTATTCAGTCTTCACCTCCACCCGTTCATTTGGTTTTCCCGTCAAAAAACGCACACAGTTGAGGAGTCAGAAGCAATAATCAACCTAGATGAGGAGAAAAACTTAAACAACGGCACACGAATCATATTATCTTTGTTCTCAAACTGCGTCGTAGCGCTCACAAAAGCATAGATTCTTGTATTCCAATTTCATTTGACTCCATATTGGTCTCATTCAGCAAAAACTGCTCAAACTTCAAAGCTGGATCCCTAATTTTGCCAACCCTTTCTTTTCTTTCCTTGTTTTCATGTCCCACCAACTTCAATGAGGCCTTTGAATTCAATCCCACTTCATTCGCGCTTCCATGACTCCACTATTTTTATAAATCATATCTCTTTACTAAAACAAATCCCCCTCCCTTGGGAATCGGCAAAGCCATTATATAATGAATAATGGCAATGCCCACCAACAAAAACAACAAATAAAATAATAAAATATCTCCAAAACTCACCAAACTCTTATACATACAGACATTATATATACTATAATCTACACAAAACCCCACGATCAGGTATTTTTAATCCCAAAACCCCTCCTAAAAATATGAGGTTTCTAGACAACTTTTGGACCACCATTTTCATTTCCCTTTTATTTATAATTCCCATATCCCCTTACTCGGAGTTTCCTTTGTCATCATCTACCCACAAGCAGTTATTTAGTTTCCTCCTTTTATATGATATCGGTGATGATGACGATGGCGAAGATAATGAGATCGATGACGAGGACGATGAGTCCGAACTCGACCTCATTCTACCCCTAACCGTAACTCGGAGTTGGAGTGGTAGCACATTGGGTGATGACTTTTTATTCCGACTATTTCCAACCACTAGATCTTGCATTAATCGATAGCATCCGATGATTTTCTCCTGCAAATTAATTAGAAAATGGATATATTTCGGAATTTGCAAATTAAAGTAAACATGTAGATTAGAATAATTTAAAATATCATGTTGCAAAGCAATCATAATGTGTACTTACTTTGCTTAGTCCATCACACCATGATTCGGCATGTTCAGGGTTTTCAAGTGACAGATTTGGGATTTCATCGGCTGCAGAGAGTATTGCTGCCGCAGCAATGCATGATGGCCAATATTCAAGAAAGCTAGATTCTACGGATCGACATAATTATGAATTCATTAACAACAAAAGTCAAGAATAACAGCTACAAGTTATCACAATGCATATACGTACGCACACCTACACAACTGTATTACGTATAGATATACAAATCTGCATGTAAATATTACGTACAGTACGTACCCTGGATATTGGATAAGATGATATCCGTGGCGCGTGAAATGAGAAAGCCAATGAAAGTTGCCGTTGGATCGAGCTTGCATGCAAAGAAAGCGATGAAGCAGAAGGGTGTTATGGATCGTAGCCTCCAATCCAAAACGCTCAGCACCAGAAGCTCCATCCTGCGGACTGTTCTGGGTTCGAATATAAACTTGGCACCTTCCACCTATGACACGTGTACATCTTACATTATAGTGACATGCTAGCTGTTTTATAATATTATTGCCATAACTAAACATTAAATCAATATTCCAACAAAAAAAACACATTAAAATCAATAAGTCTAGATTAAGAAAAAATTAGGGTTGATTACGTATAATAATTAATACCTGAAGATCCAACAGCGAAGGAACCAGAGGTTCCTCCATCTTAGCAGCTAAGGACAAGCAAGCAACACTTAAAAGTTGCATCGGCCACCCATTTGCTTGCTGATCAAACAATAAACATACAAAACGCGTATTATTAGAAAAAGTACTATCGTCATCATATGGACTTAATTAATTAAGATTCCTGTGTAATTTGTTGGTTTGCACTCGATACACAATGCTAGACGTATTAGCACGTGTCAGAGAAAAAATAACAAAGTTAATATTAAAAGGACATGTAATAATTAGTATCATTGTACTTTAATACTGTAGTAATTATAAAGTCAGATTAACCTAATAAAAAATTTGGAGTTTAGTTTAGAGGATCGTAGAGAAATTTTTAGTTGTGACGGGAACACAAGTAGTACATCATGTGTTTTAATAGGAATGATATTAAATTTTATTTTTTAAGTTATTAATTTTTTAGCACATATATCTCATCATTTGTTTAGTGATACATGATGTAACATACGAGGTATTGGTTATATGTAACATACGAGGTACTGGTTATAGTGAAAAAATCTCTCGAAATTGTAATGGAACAGTACGTACAACGAATCACCTACTGTCCACATTGTACAGTGAACTTTTTGTTTTGTTCGATTAATTTTACGTACGTTTGAAAAGTCTATACGTACTTAGAATAGTCAATAAAGTAATTACGTCTTTCACCAATAATTAGGATATAATCTTAAATATTATTCAGCTTAATCGCTAATGAAGATTAAATTTACCGGCAGGCGGTGGGAGTATAAGAACCGATCCAAGTAGTTAACGGAGAGATACGCCGTCAGTGGTTGAAACCCATAGTAACTTTGGACCTGCATACAGAACGTAATATTGATTAACTGATATTACAAGGGAAGTAATCCAATTGAGCCGCCGGTATTCGTCCGAAACTGAAAAGCAATTTACAGATAGATCCGGCGGCTGATAAACAGCGTCTTCGCCTGACGCTAGCAATGCAAGAGACACTATAGATAATAGATCTAAAGCTCTCACGCGCATGCGTTTCAAGAGAACTGATTTTTACACTATCCATTTGACTTGAATCGAATTTGATTAAGTTAATTCCATGTAAATGTCAGAAATAGAAAACGGAGGAGAAAAGGATGTGCGACGATCAGTTCGTTCACAATGGTCTACATTAATTATATTAAAGTTAGCCGCCGATTAAATAAATCGTTTGACGTTTTACCTTGAGAATCCATGCAACGGAGTCGGCTCTGGCGGTGACGTCGAGCGACTGAGAGTGGAAGCGAGACAAGTAATCGAAACCGGGGACGAAGTGGCGCTCCCCTTCGATGAATCCGGCGATGGATTCTTCGCTACACGCCGGAGATTCCACGTCCGACGAGCATTCCGGCGACTCTCCGGACAGTATTCCGGAGTTTTCCGCGCACAAGAGGTCCGAAAAACAGTCCGAGCTCCATACAGTCGACATGATGATGATGACGATGATGATGATCGCCGTCGTCCCTGATCGCTTGAGTCATTGGTTCCCCATCACTTATCGTCGTCGGAGATTGATCCGAGAAGTCGCCGGAATGCTTGTCTCTGTGGAGAGATTGTGTGTGTGTGTGTGTGTGTGTGTGAGAGTGAGAGAGAGAGAGAGAGAGAGAGAGAGAGAGAGAGAGAGAGAGAGTAAGGAAGATGAGTAAACTTGAGATTTTGATTTGGAGACTCTATCAGTTTCGATGGATATAAATATGAAGTTTTTGTATTTATTTTTATTTCTTTATTTTTCGTTTTCGTGAAATTTCGAGAGTAGGAAAAAGGAAAAACAAATAGTGATGTGATTTTTCCGGGAATTATGTGTGGTTCTGTTTATGGAGGAAAATATTATAATTACGTAAAGAGTGCGTGATGGCAACTGGAGTTTCATCACGTCACCCGTGCGAAACCCTTGCTATATATAATTCACAAGTAAATTATGATGATGCCGCGTGGCCCGTTTGATTGGTTGATAAAATCTAAAATATTTTATTTTTTGTCAAAAAAAAAATAATTTTGTTTGTGGGGAGGGATTTTTCAAGTATCAAGATATTGATGTCAAATTGCTACAAAATGTTAGGTATAAAATATTGAAAGTACATACATGGATTACAAAGACATGCAAGATATATTGTAAGTTCATACTCGAAAAAGGTCGTTATCTCTCGTACATGCTTTTATATTATCTCATATAATATTTTATAATCTCTTTTAATTGGGCATCAATCCTCTAAAATTTGGGAATTTCTCAACCGAAACATAGCCGATTAAGTTTTTGGTATCCTCCCATTTCGTTATTGCTTATGGCTATATATTCCGGATAATTAAATACTCTGTCACTTAAAGTATTTAGATTAAATTCAATTGTGGTCCAATTTTCTTTCGTAGCTATACTTTAGATTGAATCTCAAGACTTTAAGTGGAGAAATATTCATTACTCAAAGTATTGTAGATTTTTTCGTTTGCGATTTTTCATTTCAAAATCAATATTTTGTAGTTCCTTTGACGACAGTGATGGAGTATAAGCAAGAAGTTTGTTGGAAGTGTGTAACCAATTTTAGATCAACACTTCGCCAATTCTGGTCTATTCTCTAGTATTTTTTTTTTCTTTTAACAAAACGATATGTATTTTAAACTACTTTAATTCGTGTGTAAAAAAAAAAAAAAAAATGGATTGAAGAAGACAGACATTCTGCCCCAATCAAATGCTTTTATTATTTAGAAATAAAATACAATTCTAATTTTTAGAAAATAGAAAATCACAAACTGGTTGGTTTTTCGGTGTATGATTCTCTCCCCTCTTTTTTCTCCTCCCTTTCTCTTCTCTCGTATTTGAACAGTCATTGTTAAGTCATGTCAACATCTTATACTAATTTTATATAGAAAGAGAAAGACAAAATAGAGAATGTGAGAGGAAGGGAGGGAAGATGATGGAAAGAGAATGAGAGAGAATCCTAGTTTTGGAGTTTTAACGAAACGCTACCGGTACTGTTCATTTTTAACGAAAAACTACATTTTACCTTTCTCTGGTACTATTCACTACACATTTATTTATCATTTTTCATTAAAACTAAAGTTTTTTGGACTTTTCGTTAGTTTTTTTTTTTTTTTTTGTCTTTAAATTGTTTTATCCCCTCCCTTTAAACCTTCAACAATTGCATATATTAGTTATATAGTGTGCCCTAGAACGTGTAGCTAGTCACGTATGGAGGAGGATCAGGATTGACAGGACATAGAAGTATATTGGTGGACCTTGTGGTACGGTACTGTAATTATATATTACCATTTTTACAGTATCTAATAGGGGTGTGATATCTACACATCCAATTTTACTTCTCACACACCATTTTAATTTTCGACCGTCGGATCGGATGAATTGAAGAAGATCAACGGATATAAATTAATAAGGGTGTGTGAGAAATAATTTGGGGTGTGCGGATAGCACACCCCTATCTAATATTGGCCTAACTTTTCCGTTTAATCTAATTAAATAATTAAAGGAGATAATTTGGATAAAAGAAAAGGAAGCAATACTGCCCCAGTGAAAGAGAATGGGTCAGGTGGTACTGTGGCACTAAGAAACAGTAAAAGGAGAAGACTGCACACCAGTTAGACTTGGGATACAAGAAACCAAAGGATCTCAATGCGTAAACTCCTTGTTAATAGTGTTTGTCCTTTGTATTTAAGTTCGAATATACCATTTTTAATAAATTATATACAGTAAGAAATTATTGTGTGTAATAAAAGGGGGCAATTCTTTGTAGTAATCAGGTTGTTATTGGTTGGCAGCAAATTAATACATTCTTTTCCCTTCTATCAACACCCGCATCCGTTGGAGGATTAACTCGGGATTTTTTTCAACTTTAGGAAGAGAAACACCATTAAAATCAGAACTAGGTGATAAGAGGATAATCTGATTTGTACGATAACAAGAGAAGAATTATTATATGTGCCGATTATATATGTATAATATATTCTTAGTTCTGTACAAGTAAAGTCTATTGTAAAACACTGAATGCGCCCAAAGTTTAATTGTAACTTTTAAGTGGAGCATAAGAGCATGCAAGATGTAACATTGAAAAGATTGTGGATTTCTTTGATTTTTTTTTTAATTTTTTTATAGGAAAGGTGGATTTCTTTGTTTTGATAGGTCACAAAAAGAAGAAAAAAAAAAGTAAAAACGAAACTCTCTCTTTCTCTGTGACATCATGATTTAACTTTTTGAACTTGTAAAAGGTTGCAATGGTATAGGATATTATAGATGGCTTTTTTTTTGGTAGGTTACTTGAACCTCAAATTAATCTCACTTTTTCTTTGAAAAAAAAATATATAGTCACTTTGCACTCAGAAACTCGATTTTTGCTTTACTTTGCCGAGATTTTGACTATTCTTTCAAAATGTGACGGATGTGATGATGTGATAGAAATATTGCTTATGTGGCGTCTATTCAAGCATATAAGAGAATGGTATTTTGGTAAAATTATCATGTCTTGTTCCTTCTCTTCAATTTACTTCCATTACCAGTCGAATTAAACAATGATTCAGTCTCTAATTCATGAATGCTGATGCTCGCAACTTCATACTGCATGCCGAAATTCGTCGTTGAGTCTTCTTCCTTCACTTCGATTTTCTTCCATTGACAGTCGAATTTCAACAAATACTAAATTACACTATAATGTCAATACATTCTGTCATTTTGACAGATTCTCAATAAAATGTTGTGAAATTGAATTTCAGCGTGTAAATTGCCAATATTTTTTTTAAAGAAAAAATGGTGAGATTAAGTTGGAGTTTAATGACATAACAAAAAATAAGCCTATATAGATTATAAAACGTCAATAATTAAAGTAGCCATTCTCGGACTGCCATGATATAATGGGAATGATTTTCCAATTAGATGTGGAATTATTAAATTACCTTTTTCATGTTGATGATGACAACCCCGTCCCATTCACGAATTCACAATTTCAAATTCGTGTGAAGGTGAAAAATTCTAGTGGCTTAATTCACAAAATGTCTAGATCAAGAGAGGCTGCTGCAGAAGATATTGTCCAACGAGAAATGCTTAAGAGACTTTTAAAAGTTGGATTATTTATTAATTATCTGTTACTTTATATTTTTAACAAAATATTCTACAATATGACATAAATAACATTAAAGTATAAAATGACATAAATTTATAAAAAAAATTACACTTTAAAAAACTCGCTGTAACTTTTCTCTTGTCAAACAGTATAAAATGTACGCTCATTCGCAGCAATAATAAAGGTATTTAATATTTATATTTATAATGTCCGCTCGTATTTGTCTCCGGTCAGAACTCTGAAGTCACTTGCCATTTGAGAACAACCAGGCAATGAAATTGTTGGGCCGGGTCCCAGCTAAACCAATTAAATATGATCTCATGTCAGCCCAGCTCTGTGGTTATTGACTAGTCAACAAATCAAGGTGGGAACTGGGAAGTACTGACGGTCAAAATATTTTAGATCCAGAAACCCTACCGCCAGTTGAAACCAACAAGAAGTAGCCTAACGTTGGCCCTGCGGGTTAATGTGAAAGGTTGAGATAAAACATCTGACATTTGATACAGGTTTATGGACTACATTTGAATTTTAAGAACGTTAGGGTTAATCGTACACAAGCGCATACAAACCGTATATATTTGCGTGGGATGATTCAAAGTTTTTTTTTTTTAACAAACAATATTATTTGCGTTAAGGAATGAAGGAGTGGACTTAGTCTCATAATGAGTTAGCAATAATGTGGTTCAATTCGTCTTTAACGATAATCGAATTTAAAATTTTTGACTTGCAAGTGAAGAAATGAAAATGAATATTACTAAATTGTAGTACTATGTGAAAGATGATTCAGAGTTATGATTCAACACTATTAAGTAAGCAACCGATCATAGCATTGTTCTATACTCTGTCGAAAATGACATTAAGTCTCATCAGGTAGTTGGACTGCATTGTGTTTTCCATAACTACACATAATGGGTAAGTTGACTCCCTGCACATCCAACACTGTGGTTGCTTTGGCCATTTAATTGAGACTCATATGACACCGATATATGTGTGTGGAAACACAAACTGACACACACACATGTGCATATATATATGGGCTAGTACTTACGATACAAGAATAACGTTATATGTTTTGACATTATTTTATAGGACCAACTTTTTAATGTATTTTAATAACTCAAATTGACTATATTTTAGTTATGTTTTTTTTGAAAAAAATAGGACAAATTCAAAAATGATTAAAACATTTATTTTGCTGTAAAGAAAATAGACGAATATAGTTCTACAAAGAAATATTAAATTTAATTTTACAATCATATGGTTTTAGATTTTAGTGATTTTATGCTCATTTGGGAAGTGTTTTTAAATGACTAAAAGCGCTTCCAGAAAAAAAGTATTTTTGGATTTCAAAAGCGCTTGAAGGCTTCCTGGAAGAAGCACCCGTTATGTGCTTTTTGCAGGAAACACTTTTAAGTGTTTTTCCAAGATTAAATTGTTGTAAACATTCATAGTTTAAGTATGATTGTGTAAATCCTATATAAGATTTGATTCTAGTTATCCTTTCCTATTACAACTTGTATTACTTGGAGGAGAAGGAATATCTTCTCTCCCTTTACTACTATAAATAAAGGCACAATGTAGGAG